TCTCTCTGTGACCCATATGACCTTTTGTCCATTCGACCTTTTGTGCATTCAACTTTTTTCCATTCGATCTTTTGTCCATTCGACCTTTTGTACCTTCAAACTATTGTCGTTTCAACCTTCTGTCATTTACCGTTTTGTCTTTTGACAATTTGTGCCGCAATCATTCAGTCGATATGAAATTGTAATAAAGTTATCTTTTCGTTAAGAAAATTGGGAGTTTCTTGTTAAAGGAAAGTGCGTCTAACCTGCCGGGTCATTTAACTTAATCTTCTTCTCCAATCTTAAAATCGATTATTCTATTTCTATATCTAGGGGAATTTACGTATTCTCGGCAACCTAAGCAGCGACCTTCTTTCTATAGCCTTTTTCTCTATGGAACGCACACATATGCAGTATTGGTTTGTTTACAATCTTTTGCTGCCAGCTGCTCTAACAATTTCAGTCGAAATAATTGTCAAAAACTGTTTTGAAACGCTTTTACAAAGCTCCAATCTTCTCTAGTGAGAGCGAGTATTGTCGGCAACCAGTTTTTCTTCGGCAACCGTTCCATTTGAACTGCATGTAAATCTGCTGTTCTATTATCGGCAACTCGAAATGGGTGATGGATGATTTAAACAGGCTTGATGGAGCCTCACTCTCCAAGCAAAGTCTGAAATCAAATTGAAAACTAAATTTGGTGTTGTTATGTTGATGAGAATGATTACTGAAGTAGCTTTCGTTTTAGCGGTAAATGTTTGGTCGTTTTAACCGTAAAAATATTAATTTCGAGAGCAAAAAAATCTTCCATCAAACAGAAAACTTATTCTGCTGTCAGTGAAAGTAAACTGAAAACTCAATTTGATGTACATTTTTCATGTATATAACAAAACGAGTATTCAATTTGATGTCCAAAATCAAATGGTCGAAAGACAGAATGTCGAAAGACAGAATGTCGAAAGACAGAAGGTCGAAAGACAGAAGGTCGAAAGACAGAAGGTCGAAAGACAGAAGGTCGAAAGACAGAAGGTCGAAAGACAGAAGGTCGAAAGACAGAAGGTCGAAAGACAGATGGTCAAAAGACAGATGGTCGAAAGACACAATGTCGAAAGACACAATGTCGAAAGACACAATGTTGAAATACACAATGTCGAAAGACACAATGTCGAAAGACACAATGTCGAAAGACACAATGTCGAAAGACACAATGTCGAAAGACAGAATGTCGAAAGACAGAAGTTCGAAAGACACAATGTCGAAAGACACAATGTCGAAAGACACAATGTCGAAAGACAGAATGTCGAAAGACAGAAGTTCGAAAGACACAATGTCAAAAGACAGAATGTCGAAAGACAGAAGTTCGAAAGACAGAAGTTCGAAAGACAGAAGGTCGAAAGACAGAAGATCGAAAGACAGAAGGTCGAAAGACAGAATGTCGAAAGACAGAATGTCGAAAGACAAAATGTCGAAAGACAAAATGTCGAAAGACAGAAGGTCGAAAGACAGAAGGTCAAAAGAGAGAAGGTCGAAAGACAGAAGGTTGAACGACAGAAGGTCGAAAGACAGAAGGTCGAAAGACAGAAGGTCGAAAGACAGAAGGTCGAAAGACAGAAGGTCGAAAGACAGAAGGTCGAAAGACAGAAAGGTCGAAAGACAGAAAGGTCGAAAGACAGAAGGTCGAAAGACAGAAGGTCGAAAGACAGAAAGGTCGAAAGACAGAAAGGTCGAAAGACAGAAGGTCGAAAGACAGAAGGTCGAAAGACAGAAGGTTGAAAGACAGAAGGTCAAAAGACACAATGTCGAAAGACAGAAGGTCGATAGACAAAAGGTCGAAAGACAGAAGATCGAAAGACAGAAGTTCGAAGACAGAAAGTCGAAAGACAGAAAGTCGAAAGACAGAAGGTCGACAGACAGAAGGTTGAAAAACAGAAGGTCGAAAGACAGAAGGTCGAAAGACAGAAGGTCGAAAGACAGAAGGTCGAAAGACAGAAGGTCGAAAGACAGAAGGTCGAAAGACAGAAGGTCGAAAGACGGAAGGTCGAAAGACAGAAGGTCGAAAGACAGAAGGTCGAAAGACACAATGTCAAAAGACACAATGTCGAAAGACAGAAGGTCGATAGACAAAAGGTCGAAAGACAGAAGATCGAAAGACAGAAGTTCGAAAGACAGAAAGTCGAAAGACAGAAGGTCGAAAGACAGAAAGTCGAAAGACAGAAGGTCGACAGACAGAAGGTCGAAAAACAGTAGGTTGAAAGACAGAAAGTCGAAATACAGACGATTGAAAGACAGAAGGTCGAAAATCAAAAGGTTGAAGGACAGAAGGTCTAAAAACATTTTCGAAAGACAGCAGATTTAAAGACAGAAGTTCAAAAATGAAAAAAAGTCGGAACTACAAATGGTTGGAAGTACAAAAGGTTGAAAGACCAAAGGTCGATAGATAAAAGATCGAAAGACAAAAGGCCGATAGACTAAAGATCGAAAGACAAAAGGTCGAAAAACAAAAGGTCGAAAAACAAAAGGCCGAAAGACAAAAGGTCGAAAAACTAAATATCGAAAGACAAAAGGTCGAAAGACAAAAGGTCGAAAGACAAAAGGTCGAAAGACAAATGGTCGAAAGACAGAAGGTCGAAAGACAGAAGGTCGAAAGACAGAAGGTCGAAAGACAGAAGGTCGAAAGACAGAAGGTCGAAAGACAGAAGGTCGAAAGACAGAAGGTCGAAAGACAGAAGGTCGAAAGACAGAAGGTCGAAAGACAGAAGGCCGAAAAACAGAAGGTCGAAAGACAGAAGGTCGAAAGACACAATGTCGAAAGACACAATGTCGGAAGACAGAAGGTCGAAAAACAAAAGGTCGAAAGACAGAATGTGGAAAGACAGAAGGTCGAAAGACAGAAGGTCAAAAGACAGAAGTTCGAAATACAGAAAGTCTAAAGACAGAAGGTTGACAGACAGAAGATCGAAAGACAGAAGGTCGAAAGACAGAAGGTTGAAAGACAGAAGATCGAAAGACAGAAGGTCGATAGACAAAAGGTCCAAAGACAAAAGGTCGAAAGACAAAAGGTCGAAAAACAAAAAGTTGAAAGACAAAAGGTTGAAAGACAAAAGAAGCGAAAAGTCAAAAGGGACAATAGGTAGACAAACCAAAAGCTGATGTAAATATTCTGAAACTGATTGGTATGATTCTGAAAAGTGAAATATTGATTGATTTCCTTTATTTAGGAGATTTTCATCAAAAGTAAATTATGATTTTTTATTATTTTCCCTTGTTTTGAAGCTTATGCGTGATAATGTTTGCACCATTGAGTAATGTCAAAATTAAAAAAATTCTCAAAAATTTTGTTTTCGAGTTTTTTTATTTATTCAAAGGGGGATGTTTCTCAGAGTCTTAAACTATGTTAATCATCGATCGAGTTTCCACTTGCTGCAATTACGGCCTCCACACGCTTCCGGAATGCACGGCAGGTTCTAATAATGTAGTCTGGATCCATTTCTCTCCAGGTACGGGTCAATGTTTGTCTGAGGCTTGCTGTACTCGGGTGGCGTTTAGAACAGGCCTTGGCCTTCATGACGCGCCATATTGAGTAATCCAGCGGATTAAGATCGGGGCTGGAAGGCGGCCACATATCCTTCGCCCAGAACGGAAGATGTTCCTGCAACTACTTCTGAGTGCGGTTCGAGGTGTGGCAAGGAGCCCCATCTTGTTGAAATACAACATTTGGCCTCGGACCGTACTGTTCTTTACTTAAAATCCCGATGTAGACCTCCGTGTTGACCTTGTTGCCTTCTGGAATGAACACCGGGTCCGTTTTTTTGTCATCGGAAGCCACCAATTCAAACACCATAACGCTAGCAGGATGCTTGGTCAGATACACATTCTTGTTCTCGTCGGCCACGTCTTTTACCGGAAGAGAACTAATATACCGGTCGGTTCTGGAATTTGATACGGGATCGACGGAGAACAGGATTACCGGATTTTGTCGCTTAAGGAAGTTCAAGATATTCTTGCATCGTTCGACTCGTAGCTCCCGGATGCGGTTGGTAATCATGTGAGTTTTTTTTGTACCCTCGACTTCGCCCCGCAATCTTCCTTTACGATCTTCCGTATCTAGAGGAATTTTACAACTATTCTGGAAAACATTTCAAAGCATATATTTTGATGATTTTGAAAAACTATCTGAATTAGCAGACCAAATTAATTTTAAGCAGCGAACCAATGTGTACAACCCGCATCGGTACGTAGCAAATCAATTACCTACCACGAACGCACAGAAGACCTTAGCACACCGTAAATCAGTTTTACGACACTTTGATGATACAATTAAGACTTTATTGCATGTTGTATACCGACATGAACTCTTTGCGTTTTCACTTTTCAACGGATCAGACAACGGATTTGTCTGATTTACCTACACAAACAGGACTAGTAGTGTTAATAACAGACGCAGGGTTGAAGCGTCTAGAGGTGATTGTTTAAATCTATGAATTCATTAGCTTACATAATGGAAGACGAATCATTACCTTAAAATCACTGCTAGATGACTTCTGTCTGGAGATTGCGATGAATTTGTTCGATAAAAGACTAAGTACTACGTTAGCTAGTAGGCCTGCTTGCAAAAAGGTAATCCAATTTTTAACGACTTCAATTACATGTCCGCACTTTGCATTATTCATAGGAACATTTGGATGACCATGTACATGTATAGACAGGAATTGTGTACTACAAAAATCGACCGAATACGACAACCACGACCCAAGTGGAGCATATTAGCATGCAACGGATTAGTCGTTTGACACAAGGCAAAGGAAATTCCATGCGCGCAATTTTGGACCATGAGCGACCAACGACGGTGGCGTTTGGTTGAACTGATGAATCGATTGGCCGATGTCGAATGCATGGCCCGGCCGAGGACACGAGCGAAAGTTACAAACTTGTCAAATTTTGTGGTTTATATAATTCCCTCGTTATTATGCTAGCTGGTCGCCGAAGCCAACGATGCCACCCCAAACGGGGTAGTGGGAGAATCGGTATAAAATTGCATGGGTTCGTTCAATTAGGTATCACTGTTCAATCAATCGATTATTTGCAAATATCGCTGCATCCTTGCCCAAAATGTTCTCCAAATTGGTAAGACTTTTAAATTTTGATGATTCCAGACTTTCTTCTAAACCACACAATCTATTTTAGGTTATCGCTGCTTGCTTGGCTGTAGCCGCCGCTAAACCGGAACCAGGATTGCTGGGAGCTCCACTGGCGTACAACGCTGCTCCGCTGGCCTACGGTGCTGCTCCGCTAGCTTATGGTGCTGCTCCGCTAGCCTACGGCGCTGCTCCACTGGCATACGGCGCTGCTCCACTGGCATACGGCGCTGCTCCACTTGCATACGGCGCTGCTCCACTGGCATACGGCGCTGCTCCGCTAGCCTATGGTGCTGCACCGCTGGCCTACAGTACTCCGTTGATCCAACAGGGCTTACTTAGAACTGCCTACACCCAGACCGTTGGACGTAGCTATGCTCCATCCGTCCTAACTGCCTCGGCTCCAGTCACCACCTATGCCGCTCCAGTTGCCGCTGCAGCTCCAGTTTTTCCACAGCTTGCCTACGCAGCCCCGAATAACTTCGTTGCGAGGGCCTTCGCTCCTGCTGTCATCCCAGCTGTTGGCCCAGCCATTGCAAGAACCCCAGTTGTGGGCCCAGCGGTCGCAGCCAGAACTCCAGTCGTAAGCCCTGTTGCTCCAGCTCCTGCAGCTCCAGGCTCAGGTGTTGCTGCCGCTCGATTGACCGCTGCTCGAGCCCCGTTCGCCACCTACGGAGTTCCGGCGGCCACTGTCTCCGCTAGCGCGTAATCAATTTGTGTGTGATATTTTAGAGCAATTGCTGCAATTAATCGTTTGTATTGTCACTGAATAGTTTGTAAGGTTGTTGTACATAGTCAATGAGTTTTTTGTTTGTTTGTTCTATTAAATCTAATTGAAACTTGAAAATGAATCTTTGCGACTTTTATTTTACATTCCATCATCAGACTCAGGGTATAAATAGCGGGACGTTGCCGATTCTACCGGTAGTCACATGTAGGAGGCCATCAATTTTGAAATGTATGGGCTTGGTAGTTTTGAATCTTAGAATGTATGGAGATTTGTGGATTATTCGGTTTTGCCAGATTATTCAGAAACTACGGCATTTATTCCTATCATTTGTGTATTGGCAAAAGTGGATAACTTTTACCCGTTTCGCAAATAAGTGCTTAGTTGACAGAATTTACTTGCAATAAAACTTTGCTGAAGACCACTTTTTTATTAGACTTCAAGGTAATTAGTTATTAGTTTAGTTATTGAACGAAGTAGACTGTGCCGGCGAACGATCGTGTTTATTTTTGCTGTCAATATTTAAGTGCTTTTCATGAAGAAAATCCCCAGTTTAGTTTTCGAGGAGTTGATTTTAACCTGAAAAGTTAGTTTCTGTGGAACGTTCTACTAGTGAACTACAACCGAGCAGTACATTCCGCGTACCATGCAGGTCGAAACGGAACCAACCGTTATGGATCAGGTAAAGCCGGGACTTTTTCGAGACCTTTCCGACATCTCATCAGTGAAAAATATCTAAGGGTAGGTCACTCCGCACACCAATCTTGGGTCATCTTTTTTGACAGTGTGCCGCAAGTATGTCGATTGTGCCGGTCATAGAGCAAGCTGCGATTGTTTGTAAAATACCCATCCCGGCAACCCGGGTGATACCTTTGAATGTTTTGGTTTGAAATCGCAAGGATAAATCGGATTGAGGATGACGCGAGAAGTGACGGGTGTGTGAACTTTCGGTGTTTTGTGATCCATAGGGGAAAAAAAGTCCTGTGTTTTAGTGTTTTATAATGCTCTCAAAGGCAGACCAGAAATATAGCCCTTCGGCCGGTGGTGAGCATTGTTAGAGACAGACTATAGAGGGTGATGAATAGACTTCTTTAGTTTGTTTTGTGTGATTTGCAGCATTATTTGAATTAATAGTACTAATGAGGTCTGATTAACTGCCTCTTCCTCTTGAGTCCACTCTAGAACCTACATTTCGTATTTAGATCTATAAGTGAACTGCTGGTCTGAGTTCCTCTGGTATATTCAATTAGAAGATGTTCCTGAACATACTGTCAAACAGCACGTCATGTTCTGAACAACTTCAATGACAGTTGTCCAGCAGTGCTCCCATTTTATTTACAACAATCTAATGCCTACGAGATTGTGCCGGAGGTACGCCGAAAATGTGCCGATGAATGTGCCCAACTCTGCACATCCCAATCTGGGCGGAGTACTTTATCTGTGCCGAAAGGTAGGTCAAGCGTTATGAAGAACGAGCCGAAGTGTGGCAATCAAGGTATCAGTCTCAGTAACCCATAAGTTTGGCAACCCTGCACTTATGACTTATGAGATTGTGTGTTTACATTTTCAAGTCAAGTACGGATAAAAGTTGTGAAGCTTAATTCCAAGATAATATTCAACGAGCTGTTTGCCGGTCATCCTCTTCAAGTTTATTTAAATGACGGTCCAGGATCTCAATACTGGTTGCAATCGTTTGATGACTACCTCCTCCTTGTATCTGCTTGTCATTCCTTCATATTTTTTATCCTTGGTCATACCATAGAGGTAACTCTAAGACCACTGGGTCCCGAAGAAAATCATTATTATTTTTGGCTCACTCAGTACCAGAACAACGGTCCCAAGCAGTCCCAAGCTATTTCACTCACCCCTGCATGTTCTGCATGAATCCACACACCCCTGATGTTATCTGTCAAACTTTCATAGCGAATCAAAACAAACATAGTGTAGTAATAGAATTTCAACTAGAATAGGGTACGTTAATCGTTTGCTTGGGACCAATAGGCTACTAAAGTGGTGAGCCAATTTAAAATCGTTAGTTTCGTATTGATTGTTGGTCATACTGCAATGGCATAATAATCTACCTGAAGCTGCTGCCGGTTGCGATTGCGTTCATTAATACCGCAATTCAGATTGGCTCTGTTACCTCCGGTGTGGTTACCTTCACAATTATGTTAGCAGCATCTTTCTTATTGTTCCTATTGCCGTCGGTGATACGAACAGTTTCAAAAGAGTGTAGAGAGACTGCAAACCGCTAATACGGGATCCACTGACTCCAAGAGCCTCGACAGTCAATCGAATCCGAGTTCAGTCCATAGAATGAGCTGCACGGCTGACTGATCGGTAAACCATCAATCTTACCGGGTGTTTCTGCGGGAGAAACAGCTGCGATTGCAGATACATCTGAAGAATGTATATTATCGCTGCAATGCTCCTTGTCCATACAATTGACTCTCGGTCCGGATTCTATGGCCATCGAGCTATTACTTAATTCTAGTTAATTCTGGCCTATTTTGCGGGGCGTGGTGACTCCGACTAATTCGTTTGGACTTCCCTGAAACAATGGACATCTCTCAAAAGCCATGCGGACTTTCTGTTTGGTTTACATTTATGGATTATCAAGTGACACAGATGCGTCTTTTCAACTTTAGTACATTTGAAGTTTTATTTATTATTAACAGTTCCTAGTCCTACAAATATGGTATAGTCTACAAATTGCTTATCAAAGCATGTTCTGCTGTATTGCATTTCTGCATAAACCTAGACTTAATGTCATTAAATTTGAGATCTAATTTTGGAATGTTCGCCTCTTGGTGAAGGTCTGAAATTCTTGTGTCAAAGGGACGATCAAGGATCACCCTAAGCACTCTGTTCTGAGCAACTTGGATTTTGTTCCTGTGAGGCTTTGCACATGATTCCCACACAGGAGCTGCGTAGAGGATTGCAGGTGCTATAATTTATTATACAATCTCTTATTATGATTGGGGAAAATTTCGCTGGAAATGGCACTGAAACGAAAAAAAATCTCTTTCCCCCTTATTTTGAAGTAAACGAAGAAGTAAACCTTAGCAACGATTGGTTAAATGTCAATACAAAACAGTGATGCCGTTTTATCAAGCTTTCCATGCTCGGTAATATATCCTTCACTGTGCTTTTTGACACTAACTGGAGGTCGTATGTTGTTCCATTTTCATCTGTTCTTGGGAGAGGGAAAGGGAGGGGTCAAAATCCGAACCTCCAGATAGTGTCAAAAATCACAGTGAAGGATACATTTATTCAAACAAATAGGCCACCATTACCGAGCATGGAAAGCTGGATATTATATTTTGTGTCATTCTTGTCATCGTGTGCCATAACGTGCCGATCAGTGTGCCACGATGTGTTTCGGTACAATGTGCAGAGTTGATTACCCCTTGGATGTGATCTTATATTCGGTCAGTATATAGTGTAATAGTAGGAGCATCGATTGACATTGATAGCTCGACTTTGTTTACCTTTGTTACTTTCGACGTAATGAAAATTTTCTTTTTATATATCATGATTATTCTTCATAGTTTTGAGCAACCTAAACATGTTTATTTACATGGGTATAATAGTTTTTTACTCCGCTTCAAAATGAAACTTTTTATGACCAAATTGGGTCAAAGTTGAATGAGTACACACTAAGATTAATTTACCGATATCTGTGAAATTTTACCGAAATCTAAACAGTGGGATGTTCGGTAAACAGTTCGGTGATTTTTCATAGACTTTCTGTGATTTTTCGCAGATATTCGTTGAAAAATTACAGGAAAACTGTGAAAAATCACCGAATAGTTTACCGAACGTTCAGCTGTTGAGATTGCGGTAAAATTACACAGATTTCGGTGAAATAATTATAGTGTGTAATATGTATTCTAAGTAAACATTAAATTGCTGGTTTTTGAACATACAAATCATCAAAATCAGCTGACTTAGCAACGTTCAATGTGTTTCCAAATATCTAAATCTTCTCCAATAATTAGGAAGTTTTGAAAAAACGTTATTCAAAGTGTGACAAACCTAGAAAAAAATAACATAACAAAAATAAAAACATGATTTTTAGAGGTTTTGTCCGGTCACTGGTGGAGCAAAATCGATTTTTGAACCACCCTAATATATACAAAGCTCTTTATTAATAGCTGTGGAAGTGCTTCAAAGAACACTAAATTGAGAGCTGGCAAAATCTGGAAGAAGATGAAAACTGATATACTATTTCAGATCAGATCACCTGAAAAATTGCTCTAAAATGTGAAAGTTATGAAATACAGCTACAACTTTGCATGCGTCTTAATTTATAAAAATAAGCACATGGACTTTTATCTTGTACAATTCTAATCCTGAACCGATGTGCATTGTCCATTGGAGTGAGCTTCTAAATATACACATAGTTGGAAGGCAACGAACAGAGGGCAAGTGTTTTCATCGGAAAAAATGGACCGTCCTTCTTGAATATGTTTTTCATCCGGTCCTTGCAGCAGCCAATGTATAACCCATAGTTACCTGAATTCATCAACATTTTCCGCTTCTTGAAATCGATTGATACTTCCTGGATGATGGACGATACAAGCGAAATTTTATTTGCACTGCTCTTCTATTCAGAGCAGTGTCGGTCCATGTGGCAGTGGAAAGCTAAAGGATAAAATCGTATCTTTGACAACACCGAAGATTAAATTCCACGCAACTGCTGCTCTTGGGTTCTCCTGAAGAGCACACAAAGTAGCCATAAGCTGTGAAGAGGAAAAATCTATTTCTATTCACCTTCTAAAACACACAGCCAATCAACTGTCCATTAATCAAATGGGTGACCTTTACAGTTTGAGTTGTTTTAGGTTATGAAGCTTTTTGCTTCGATTGGTGATAACTTTCAATTTGCAAAAAAGATACATCAATCAGATGTATGAATTATGACATTACTGATGGACTATTGGTGGTAGATATAGATTTAATAAATGCCTGATTTAGAAATAAAACAAAAGAGATAATATATTTATTTAATCCAATGTTTTCAACCAAGGTTGCGGATTTAGACAACAGTGCTT